AAGCACTTGGGCCATCTTCCACTGCTTTCCCAGGCCACAGCAGAGAGCTGGATTGGAAGAGGAGCAGCTGGGACTAGAACCGGCATCCATATGGGATGCCAGCACTTCAAGCCAGGGCGTTAACCTGCTGTGCTACAGCGCCGGCCCCTCACCAAAACATTTAAAATAATCCACCCACCTTAAAAATAAAGAATAAGAATATAAAGAGTATCCAATACACAAAATGTAAATGTAAATAGACTTCATTTCTATATAAGTGACACTTTCCTTTGCACTCTCATGGTTGTAATTTTCTTTTTTTTATTCAATTACTTCAGTCTGTCTCTGCTGCTACACCAAATTGGACTATGTCTATTTTTATCTAACACATAGTAGGTGATCAATACATATATGATGAATGAATGAGTGATCCATGGATATTGATTATAGCCAGAAGGTCATAGGCACGTAAGTGAATTTAGTTTTTTGGCTTAGGCAGGAATAGAAATGTTAGTGGTTATCGTATATGAAAACACTGAAGATGGGCAGAGTTAATTCTTCATTCCTGGAGAAGATAAATTTACCTGTGCTGAACTGAGTGATTTGAGGTCATGAGCAGGGCTGATCTAAGCAGAGCAGATGCAGTCGCCAAGCAGTTGTTTACAGGGTAGTAAAAATCAAAAGACTGTATCAGGGCCGGCGCCATGGCTCACTTGGCTAATCCTCCGCCTGCAGCGCCGGCACCCCGTATAGGCGCCAGGTTCTGGTCCTGGCTGCTCCTCTTCCAGTCCAGCTCTCTGCAGTGGAGGATGGCCCAAGTGCTTAGGCCCTGCACCCGCGTGGGAGACCAGGAGGAAGAACCTGGCTCCTGGCTTTGGATCGGTGCAGCAACAGCCATAGCAGCCATTTGGGGGGTGAACCAACAGAAGGAAGACCTTTCTCTCTGTCTCTCTCTTTCACTGGCTAACTCTATCTGTCAAATAAAAAAATAAAAAAAGAGACTGTATCAATTCTGCAAAAAATAATGTAGGGCAGTTTCTGAAGGCATGGTCCTCTACAGATCAGCATTAGAATACCTGGAGGGTTGAAGGAAGCACATTCCCAACCTGGACATTCAGCATCCCCAGAGTGTGGCACCCAAACAACGACAACAACAACAATGACAACAACAACAACAACAAAAATCTACATTTTCCACAAACTCCCTAAGTATTTCTCACTTCCAAAGTTTAAGGGCTGTTGGACCTCGGGGAGCAATAGTCTATGTCTCTGTCTAGGGAATAATCCACATTATATTATAAAATGAGACGAAGAAAGGAAACCTACAAATGAAACAGAAATGGCAGCCAGAGAGCCAGAGTTAAGATATTGTTCTGAATCAGAGAAGGTAAAATTTAAGAACAAGAAGATGGGGACCAGCATTGTGACACAGTAGATTAAGCCACTGCTTGCATACCATATCAGAGAGCCACTTCCAGTCCTAACTACCCCACTTCTGATCCAGCTTCCTACTAATGTGCCTGGGAACTCAGCAGATGATGGCCCAAGTACCTGGACCCCTCCCATCCACGTGGGATACCAGGATGGAGTTCCAAGCTGCTGTCCTTAGTCTGCCCCAGCCATGGCTGTTGCAGCTATCTGGGAAGTGAACCAATGGATGGAGTACCTGTGTATGTGTGTGTGTGTGGCTGTTGAAGCCATTTGGGGAGTGAACCAGTAGATGGAGGAACTCTGTGTGTGTGTGTGTGTGTGTGTGTACATCTCCCTTTTTCTCTGTCACTTTGCCTTTCAAATAAATAAATCATAAAAAAAAACAAACCCAAGATGACCAAAAGTGTCAAATGTAACAAAGATATCAAGAAGGAAGATGCAGAAAAGTTGTGAATATGATAAAACGATCAAGCATGGCCCTCTAGCCTACTTTTAGTAAAGTCGTGACAATAGAATACAGACTATTTCCTGGGCCCTGACCTGTCCTTCAAGATTCAACTTCCAGTCCAGCTCTCTGCTGTGGCCCAGGAGTGCAGTGGAGGATGGCCCAAGTGCTTGGGCCCTGCCCCCGCATGGGAGACCGGGAGGAAGCACCTGGCTCCTGGCTTCGGATCGGCGCAGCGCACCGGCTGCAATGCACTGGCCGTAGCGGCCACTTGTGGGGTGAACCAACAGAAAAAGGAAGACCTTTCTCTCTGTCTCTCTTTCTCTCACTGTCTAACTCTGCCTGTCAAAAAAAAAAAAAAGATTCAACTTAGGACAGTATCTCCCAGTGATGCATTTCCTGATCTGCTGGATAAAGTCCATCAATCCTTGGAGTATGTAATCCTACTGCAGCAGTTCCTCTATGGACTGAAATTCTGTTTACTTTTCTTCCTCATTTAGACTGAGAATTTCTTGAAGCCAGGGGCTGTCTCTCTCGACTTCCATGTCTTTCCTCCAAGCATTATTGACAAATAAAAATTGTATATATTTAAGGTATACAACCTGACGTTTTAGTAAGGAGCTGTGTCTTGTTCCTTTTCAAATACCCAGCGTCTGGCATTAACACTGGGCATACAGAAGCTATCTGCAAATGCCAGTTGAATGAATGACTGGAGAGCAATTGGAGGCAAAGGGCACAGTCTCGCCATGAAAGTAGATGAATCCTTTATGTTTGAAGGCAAATGAGAGCAGAGTGCTTGATGCTGCCGGGGGGGGGGGGGGGGTAAGCGGGGAACCATTTCCTCCAGAGCATGGGAGAAATGTGATTAAAAGCACCGTTTTAGTTTTAGAAGGCAGAAAGGGCAACACTTTGCAGTCTTGAAGGAAGCATGAGAAGGTGGGTGTTTAAGTTAAAGCAGCTTGGCTCACACGGCCCTTTTCTGAATAAGTCATGAAATTAAGGCCTTTGCTGAGAAGGAGGCACAGAAAGCGGGATCCGGAACCTGGAAAGACCGGAAGAGGGTTGGTGGGATTGTACTGGTGAATGCCTGAGAGATCAGTATATCCCTAGGCGTTAAGAGCAGCTTATCACAATCTGGTTCCTTGCGGTAGCCCTAGAAAGAACAGGCTGCATCTATCCGTCATGCAACGTGGGACTGGCTATCAGATCTGAGGCCTGAAAGTAACCGGAGTCCCTAATCTCTCCCTCTCCTGAACGCTCTGGGCACTTCCTTTCCACCTTTCGAGGCACTCACTGCCCTGCACTGCCTATCTTAGCTGTTTGTCCTCCTCTTGCTAGAGTATAAATGGTTGATGACAGGGCTGGCTTACTCACTACTGTGTTGTACCTTAGCATAGGTGCTTTGTGCACAAAAGATGGGCAAATGTCTGTAGCAGGCACACCCCTCGAATACAGCATTTATCAAAACATACTACATTTGCTTGTCTGTCCCCCCTTTAGACCGTGCTCAAAGGCAGATATTGAGTTGTATTGATCTATGCTTTCTTTGTGTTTGAAACTTAGTAGTTTTGCATATGTTGACTGGTTGGTGTGAATGCATTGGTCAAAGAATGAATAAAAGATAGGAGCATGTGGAGATTTAGGGGGAAATCTAAAAAGATGCCTCACTGCACAGGCACTGCATTTTGTCACACAATCATCTGTCTCATCCTGCCATCAGTTGTGAAAGCTGGTGGAAAACGAAGCCAAGATACCTGTTTTCATTTACACCATATGAAATGTTTGGAATACACATTCTGGATCTTATGCAAATCTCTAGCCACCCTCTTTTACAGCACAGGGCCTGGATAAAAGGGCTAAGTGTTCCTTGCAGCTAAATGACTGACAAGTCTGTCCACCTTTATTAGGTACCTATTTGAATGGGTTCAATGATATATTACCCTGGGCACTTGAGGACTGCAATTTAAGGCTGGCATTGCAGAGAAAAAGCAAAAGATTTATGGAACAGGATAGAAGCAGCATTGGATCAGAACAGTGGAAATCTACCCCCACTGCAGGGAAAACAGTTACTTGAAGGGCATCTTTCAATTTTCACTGGGTAGGGTTTTTTGTTTTAAAGACTCGCTTCCCGTCTGTGAGGCCAGTCGGAAATAATAAAAGCGGACTCTCACACAGGGCGTACTTTGTGTCCAGGCATTAGTCTATGTGATTTGCATATATTAACTCATTTCTCATTACAACCTTTTGAAATGGATACCATTATGAGCTCCATTTTAGACGGCATGAAACGGAATAAGAGAGAAGTAATACAACGCAATCAAGGTCATAGAGCTAGAAATGGGGGGAGCTGAGAATCAAACCCACGCAGTCTGGCTCCCATACATCGAAGAGGAAAGTGTGTCTGGTTTACCTGTGTGGATTATAAAGAAAATCACTTAGCTTTTCTGATTATGCCAATCCAGCACTTATAAACTGTTATATGCTAGGGACGCTAATACAAGCTTTAGTTGCACTCTCTCATTTCTTTCTCACAATAACCCCCGAAGTAGTTTTTAATCCCCATGTCAAAGGCAAACACACACACATACACAACCACCGCCACCACCACCCAGATTTAAGACACAAAGGTTAAAACGATTCGCCCATGGACTGAAGTGCAGGCCGGCTGAGTCCACTACGAGCTTCTCAGTCTTTGCTGGCAGTGAAATGAGGCGAACGGAGGACCTCAAAATGATGCCACGGGAGTACAATGAAATAATGGATGTGAAAAGGCCTTGGTGAACAAGTGTAAAGGGAAAAAGGCCTACCCACTCGAATCACTGTTGAAAACCGGTTACCCAGGGCCCCAGTCCAACGGTTTCTAGTCCCAACCCTGTCCCTTCTCTGCCCAACCCACAGCAATATCTTTGAATCTCTTTCTCTATATCCTCGGATCCTGCCCCCAAACACTTGGCGAAGCGGCAGAGCGGAGAATAGAAGGTACGCGCGCGACCAGGAGGCGGAGCCTAGCCACCCCGATCCGTACAGGAGGCAGTGTGCACATGCGTAGTAGTGCTGCGACTTCACTTGCCCTGTCTCTGAGGCCAATCAGAGCCCGCGGCGCGCTCCAGACGTATAAACGCGCTGGAGAACGTGTGCGTGCGAGGGGGGTGACGTAAGGGCGCTCCGCGAGCCCGTCTCTCCTCGAATGAAAGGAAACAACCTCCAGCGACAGAGCCCCGCTCTCAGGCGCTGCAGGAGAACCGATACCGACTTCTTTCTCTTTCCCCTCATTGGCGCTTCTCTCCCGCCCTCCGCCTCTAAGCCCCGCCGGTGAGTCCCCTCGGAACCCTGGGACCCCCCATTCTCTGCCCGGCGGGAGAAGACAAGGAGGATGGCGGTGGCCAGGCCGCCGCCCCTGCCCGTTGTTAAGGGGGGGACTCTTGGTGGTCTCGCTTTATTGTCAGGGACCCCAGAAGCGCCGCTCATTGTAGGCGCTTGGCGAAGAGGCTGCTGAGAAAGTGCTTTGGAGGTGCCGGAGGAGACATTAGCCTTGAGCCTCGACTTCGGGGGAGGGGGCGCGACATCCGAAGAGGGGAAAAAACGGAATTTTTAATGTTTACGGTTGCTTAGGACACATTTGGGAAGAAAGAGACACTCAGTTTAGGGAGAGTAAGAAGAGGAAAAAATGTTAGAATGGCAAGAGGGTTAGCCTTACGGAATGAGGAAAAACTCCGGGGTGGGGGGAATTAGGGGTGAAACTGATGCAGAAGGCGAAGCTTACAACGAAGACTATTGGAGGGCGAACTCCTGGGGGAGGGGGTCTAAAGAAAGTGGTAGGGTGCTATTTTCCTGGTTTCTGGAGGATTGCAAAAGGACAATTAGGGGACCTTGACTTGACTACGGAAAGGAACCTGCTGAAGTATTTGAGAAGAAGATAGTTTTGCGAGTTTATCCAGCGCTTGATTAGAGGGAGATCTTGGAGTTTAGTGTGTATTGGGGAATAAATAACGGAGAGGAATCGGTACGTTAATGTGTACCATCTTTTATTATATGGACGAAGAGCACCGTGTTCCTTTGCAATTTCCATTCGTTTCGATGTTCTGCGTGGAAGTTAAAATCTTTTTGTTTTTGAAAAAAAAAAAAAAACCTTTTCTTTTCACGGGCTTACTGCGTAATAGCAGGTCGTATTCATACGGTTCAAATTCTTCTCTACCCTTGATTTTGAAACAACTGGAAAATTCCTTTAGTTTCCTTTTGAATAACCGCAAAAAGCAGTGCGAAGCGTGTAACAATATCGTGCAACCAAATTCAGGTGCCCTTCCGGTACATCTCTTATTCGTTTATTTCTCTCCACTGTAACTTTCCTGCCAAATACTGCTTCTTGGGGGGATCACGTTTATAAATTCAGATGTGTATATTTCAGCTCGCCTGCGTGTGGGTGTTTTAATCTTCCGGAAGTGCAGTTTTTGTTTTTATTTAGTTTGTTTTTCTGTGAAAATGCTCTTTCAGATACCAGACATTGAATGAGCTCTCGACTCGGTTCTTGAATGCTCTCCTTGCTGTTTCAGGTTATTTCTGTCTCGGCGCTTCACAGCATCTTGGAAAATCAAAAACGCATTGATCGCTTCAGCTTAACTAATCTGGCTCTCATATGTTTTCCAGGCATTTATGTTCTTCACCCTATTACTGTTGTCTCTCTAATTTTTGCTTTGGAACATCCATATTGCAACGTTCCTTTTTAAAAGGAAAAGGTTCCATTGTTGGGTTACAGTGATAAACTTTGATTTTGGCATACCCTGAAAACCATTGTAAACTAAAATTAAAATGCCATATAGCTGTGGATCATTATAAACCCCCTTAGTACTGGTCCTTGGAGTGCCCCTATGCTGCTTAACTAGAGACCACAAATGTGACAGCATTAGATAAAAGTCTGTATTTTCCTGATAAAGACATTTTTGCCAGGAGTCATTGTTTCCACTTATGTTTTACAAGGAGGCTATAAAAAATTAGCAAGATATGCACAGATGCATTATTTGAATTTTAGTGGAAAAATCCATTTAGTCATTGTACATTGGGGAAAGTTTGCAATTGGTTTGTAGTACTTTTTGTGTGGGGGGCTCTGTTCACAAATGAAATTTAAACTAATTACAGAAAAATATTTTTGAATGCAAAATAAAGTGTACCTTTTTCCCCTCTTTTAGATGTTACAGCCTGTGAAAAAGTAGAAGAGCAGGTTCTCAATTAACATGAGAAATTTACCTGTTTATTAATCGGAAGAGGCAAATTCAATCGGGATAGAATTTGGGGGGTACCATTTCAGAATTAATTTTAAGAATAAAAAGTAATTTACACTCTAGGAATTTTATCTTAAGCCAGTTTTATACCCGGTGCTAGAAGTGTATAGAAATTACACATTACAGATGTCTGTGCAGATTAGATTTATAATGTGCCATCCTTTCAACTGGCCAGGATGAGCGGGAGAAATGCTGAATACATTACAGTGGTTTTTGAGTGCCTACTATTCATTGCATAGTAGTAAAGAAAACTAATTTAAGCCTCAAATAGCAATTTTTGGCACTATTTATGAATCTTGGTGTTTTGCATAGTTAATTCTAAAGGTTTGGGCAGTTTCTGGATAAAACAACTGAGCACATACTTGCCTGAGCAAATGCAAACACACTTCCCCTTTTGTTTCTTTTGTTTCTCTGTTATGTCCTTTTTTTCCCCGTTTAATCCTAAAAGTATTTGCTGCCTGTTTTCAATCAGTTTCACAGTTTATAGCCAGTGCTGTGAATTTAGTACTATTGCGAAGTGTCTGATGGCTGTTTGGAAGACTGAGGTATTTAAAATTATAGATAGCCTTAAGAGTTTGTTAAACCCATCAAAGCAAGGACTGTCAGGGCCTTTGAAGTTTCCTTAAAAAGAAAATTCCAGATGTAAATTGATGATGAGAGGACATGTTTTCTTTGTTGCTTCCCACTTAATTTTGATGAAGTATCTGAATTTTTATATTGAGAAATGTTGAGTGGTTTGTAGATACACTACCACCTTGCTGGCATCCAGCTGTCACTGTTCTTGGTGAACAGGTACTTTCTCAGAAAACTACATTGTTGAAAGAGTATTATGAACATTTTCACATAATGAAAATAGAAAACTTTTAATCAATTAATTACTTTCAATAAAAGTTTAAGATTTGATTGATTGTGATACGTGCTCTCACAGCCTGGCTCCAGGACTGTTGACTTGGGAAAACTACAAAAATGGAATAACTGATTTTCAATCTGTTTGCTGCTGTTCTGCAGAATCCATGTTGAGATGATGATGTAAATCTGAAACCTTTTGTGGCAGACTTTTTCTTCCCTTTTTTGTTTGACTATGCTACCTATAATTATAATTCGACCAAATTTAAGGCTCATTCAGAAAATTTTTCCTTCCATTACACAATATTACTAATGTAAGTATGGAAGTTACCGCCTTTAGAAAACCATTGTCAGTTATCAGTTTGTGACTTTAATTACTAAGCAGACTTGGAGTAAATCTCAGCATCATATAATATAGTTGTTTTATAAAGAACTGAATCCTAAAATTACTGTCTTTGACTAGTTTGTTAGAAGCTTATTTTTTTACTTGAAAAGGAAAAAGAGTGGCAAAAATGAATTTATTAGACATACACATGATTTTTAAAACTTAGAAATAACTCAAGTTTAAAAATAAATCAGTGTTCCAAAGTCATGGTTAAGTAACTACACTTTACTTTTACTGATTTATCAACATGTGAACTTTAAGAAATTGTGCAGTTATAGGAGCCTGTTCCTTCTGGATGTTTTGTGGTGCTCTTAGTAGTTTTTGCTTAGATACATAATTTTTCCTTGAAATGGTACCTTGTTATACATAAAATATAGTTGGCATTAGGCTTTGCCAGCAGATGATTTAATATTATACATTTTTATCCACACAGAAATAATTCTAATTGTTTCCCATATTCCCTAATTTGGAGGCAGCTTGATTTTTCTCACTCTAGACTTCACTTAGTTATTTATCTATAAATACATTTGTTATAGAGGCATCTTAGATTTTTACATTAAGTTGTATATGCTTTTTCATTTATTGATTATTGTGTTTAATTTGACTATTAACCATTTGAAAAATGAGTGTATTAAAACCTAGGTCAAACATTAAACAACTGACATGAATATGTATACACTGATTTTTAAAATGAAATTAACTGTTTTATTGCCATTCTTATTCTCGGTAGCATTTCTTAAGGCTTAAAGTGGCAGTCTAAAGGCGATTTAAAAATCATGTCAAGCTCAATTGAACAGAAAAAAGGGCCTACAAGACAGCGAAAATGTGGCTTTTGTAAATCAAATAGAGACAAGGAATGTGGACAGTTACTGATATCTGAAAACCAGAAGGTGGCAGCACACCATAAGTGCATGGTAAGTATCCTGGCAGCACCTAAGAAACCTTGATGCTATTCATGAGAATCTGAATAGCACATGAATATTCCCAAATACTTAAAAAACTCAGCTAAGATTTTAAAAAAGTGATTTATCACTATTGCTATGCCGTTTTTAGTAGTAGAAAATTTCCTTTTAAATTTAGCATCTCATTCATTGTTTTACAGTAATTATTTATGAACCTTATTTTTTTAATGTAATTTATAGCTATTTTCATCTGCCTTGGTATCATCACACTCTGATAATGAAAGTCTTGGTGGATTTTCTATTGAAGATGTCCAAAAGGAAATTAAAAGAGGCACAAAGCTGGTAAGTTGGTATTTCTGCCTCTTGAGTATAAAAATAATTTTAAATTTACTATGGAGGAAATGCTTATTTTAGAGTGTATTGCATTGTTAACAGTATAATTTAAAATCCCAGGCTTTTTTTTTTCCTGAGCCAGCAAAATCCAAGACTGAGCTTAACTTATTTACCACTCAATAAAAAGGAATGAATCATTATTTACATAATTCAATTTTTTTCTTTTCAAAAAGAATTAAAATGCTCTTAGAGGTTGTGTTTACTTAGAAACCAAGCAGTTTGCTTAATTTGAATATGCTTTAAAAATTGTAATGATATTTTCCATAATTCTGATACATTTCATATTCCATCATCAAATTATTGTGGTCATTTAAGTAAAGATGAAAATACTCTCTCAACAGGAAAATGTTAGCACTTGACACTCAAAGTATTTTACTGTGGTTCAACTATATAACCTGGCATTTATGATTTTGGATAACTTCTGTGAATTTTATAGAAATTTTTCTGAAACTGTACTATGGTAATGGTCCTGTAGTTGTCTTTACTACCAGTAACCAGATTGATAAGGTATTATATTGCTCTATTGAAAAAGTAGTATCATTTCAATTGGTATTTATGGCACATTGTGGTTTACTTTGAAACATTTAATTGAGCGATTTATTTTCATTTAGTTCTTTCTCTTGTTTGAGCTCTTTATTGAAATTGCATCTGTACTTGCACCTTCTGTAGTTTCACTATCAAATGTTTTGTTATTTTAAAGCTGTGTCTGTGTTTTTAGCCATTGGATGATCCCTTATTTTGCAAACAGTCTTAGATGGTAGTTTTGGGATGAAATGGTGATGGGAAGAGGAAGGTTATCAGTCTTCTAGTATTAAGGAAAAAAAGTAACATGAATGCATTTAAGTTCAAAGATAACGTATGAGATTTACTTCAGGATAAATTATCTCAAATCCCGGTATCAGTATTGGTGAAAAATGAGAATTTAGAGGTCAGACTGGTTTTGTTGTGAGATCTAAGCTGTGAAAATCTTTATTTTCCCCACACTCAGAATCATAGATAGTAAATGAAAGCTCCATTTTTAAAAATGTGATTTTTGTTTGGTTTTTAAAGATTTCTTCATGTTACATGTGCTGGTTTTTTGAGAACTAGAGCATTATGTTTTTATTTCTTAGTCCTTACAAGAAATTCCGATAAAAAGAAAAAATACTATTTATTTGGAAGTAGTTGGACAGTCAGCCTTATTACCTTATTATTTATTCCTTGTCATGATGAACATTCCTGGAAAATGTTTCTATATCCTGACTGGTTAGCATTTTTGTCATTTGACATGTCTGCTGTAGTCAGAACTGGAGCAGTTTTGGTCCCTGATGTTGAAATATCATTAACAAATATTCCATGAAGTGGCACTATACATCTAACAATATTGCTAAATTCATTAGAGATTTAATTTATTTGGATTGTTTGCAAAGAACACATCAGAACTTTATGCAAGTTTCATTATTACTGTTTTGATTAATTTTAATGTTAGAGTGTAGGGCATTAAATTCCCCCTTAAGCGTAACATATTATAAGTAACTAAACTTGTTCCTTGATCCAGAGAGTGGAGCAATTCTGGAGGTGAGAGCGTAAGCTGTAGTAGCAGACTTGAGTAAATCTCAGCTCTGTTCCTCATTCGCTGCGGGACCCTGAGTAAGTGATTTCTTTCTCTAGGCCATGTTTCCGTCACTTGCAAGAAGGGGACAATGTTAGTACTTGCCTCATGGAATTATTGCCAGTATTAAGAGAGAGAATATACAGGGCTTAACAGAGTGTTCAGCACATGGTTAGGACTTGATAAATGGAGGCCCCCATTGTAGTTAGTGGTTGTAAATAAAAGTAAGATCCTGCTAATGTCATTGTAGGATAATGAAAAGCGTGCTGGTCTGGCAAGTCATGAGGCCTATTTTTTTTAATAACTGCTACTGACACATTCTTTAACCTTAGACAAGTCAGCAACTTATTTGTCTTTTTGCCAAGTGTAAATAGCTAATGCTGCATCATTGCTTATTACGTACTTGATGTTGTGTGACTGCAAAATACTGTGAAAGAGAAAGATTTACCTTAGAAAAGATGTTTCAGAAGCCATTTTGAGACTGTAGGCATTTAACATTGAGGAACAGTGGCAGGAGGAGAGAACTTTTGAGTCTGGACATAGCATTTTGCTCCCTTTCCTTCTCCCCAGATGTCAAAATTTAAATAACTTACTTAGGGGATAGGAAAGCAGGTTTATATATTTAACTTTGAAATAATTTTACCTTCAGTTCTGTTCCTTCCACACTATCACGTTTTACAGTTTTTTTTTTAAGATTGATTTATTTGAAAGGCAAAGTGACAGAGTAAGCGAGAGATCAGTCTTCATCTGCTGATTCACTCCCCAAATGCTGCAGCAGCCAGGACTGAGCGAGGCTGAAGACAGGCGCCTGGAGCTCAATCCAGGTTTTCCACATGGGTACAGGGGCCCAAGCACTTGGGCCATCTTCCGCTGCTTTCCCAGGCCATTAACAGTGAGCTGGATCTGAAACAGAGCACCTGAGACTCCAACCAGTGCTCTAATAATGGGATGCCAACAATACAAGTGGTGGCCTAACCCCTGCGCTGGAGTGCCAGCTTCCCATTGAATCATTTTTTTTCTTTTAAGATTTATTTATTTGCTTGAAAGTCAGAGTTACACAGAGAGAGAAAGAGAGACAGAGAGAAATCTTCCATCGTTGGTTCATTCCCCAGATGGCTGCAAAGACTGGAGATGTGCCGATCCGAAGCCAGGAGCAAGGAGCTTCCCCACATGGGTGCAGGGGCCCCAGGGCTTGGGCCATCTTCTACTGCTTTCCCAGGCCACAGCAGGGAGCTGGATCTGAAGTAGAGCAGCCGGGACCAGAACCGGCGCCCATATGGGATGACAGCACTGCAGGCAGTGGCTTTACCTGCTACGCCACGGTGCCAGCTCCCCCCAGTTGAATCATTTTAAAAAGATGATATAACAAATAGCCAGAATTCCAGATTTTAATTTTTTTCTTTACCCTCCAGAGATTTGCCTTTTTAAATTTTCCAATATTTTTTACTTTTCATTTATTTGATTTCCCATCTTCTGTTTCACTCCCCAAATGCCCTCAAATAGCTAAGGATGGGTGAGGCAAAAGTCCCGAGCTTGGAACTCAATCCAGATCCCCCACAAGGGTAGCAGGGATCCAACAACAATCACCTGCTACTTCCCAGGGTTACACATTAGCAGGAAGCTGGAGTTAGAAGCAGAGTTGAGACTTGAACCCAAACATTCTGATACGGGATGTGGGCATTCCTGTAGCAAACATTTTGTGTAACCAATACAAGGGCTGTAAATCAAATGGCGGGGGAGGGGGGGTGGCGCATGAAGGCCTTTATGTAACTAGGTAAAGTACATATAAACTAGACAACCAACTTCCCTAATTGACTTTTTAAGGCATTTTATTCTGTGAGCCTGTTTGCCCTGGCTCTTTTTCATCTGGATTTCTTGGTGAAAAGTAGGTCATGAATACTCACTGAAAAATCAAAAGCTGGAATGCTGGCCCCTGAGTGCTTTCAAGACAGATTCCAGTCTACCTGAAGTTGGCACCAAAGGTGCTTATTTGCCCCCAAAGAAAAGGACAGAGAGAAGAGGGTTTAGACCAGAAGGGTCTGAGTCCTGTGAGGATGGTGGGCTAGTAGGGCAGAAGGTACAGGTGTGTAGTTTCTGTGTTCTTGGCTGCCATAGGCAATCGTCCAAGGTTTTCAGGTCAGCCATAAGAATCAGAAGAGGAAAGCCATCCTACATAAACATATTCATCTCTTTTACATCATTTTTAAGGACATAGCGCCAAGATGGACCATGAAAAATTTGATAGACTGCTAAGGCTTTTATCATTTGAGGCCTTGTTTTTCCAGTTTAGACAGATACACAATTTTTCCAGAATGACTTCCAGTGCCTACTGAAGCCATATGGAGAATATCAATCTGTACCATCTATTCTTACTCTAAAGCCATCTAGCCAAGAAATGCAAATTTCCAAGTAAAATCATGACTTATCATTGCTTTTTTTGAATTTAAGGAAACACTGGAGAGCAGTATATTTGAAGAACATTCTCTCTGGATAAAGCTAGGTTATGTGGTCACTAAGATTATCTATGTTGGATAGCCACTATTCTAATTGGGACCTGTGTCAGAAAGAGTTCAGAAGGACATTTAGTTCACCTTCCTTACCCCAGGCAGGATGACCAACCTACAAGCCATCCAAGAGAAGATTGTTGTCTGCCTTGTGTTTAAATACGTTAAGAAATTGTGACTTTCCCCAAGTAACCTAAAGCAGGACCAATAATATGTTACTGGTTCAGAGTTGAGAAATTCTTCCTTCTGTATTACTCGAGCCTCTTTCTTAATTTAAAGCTGTTTATTCGAGGTCTGTCTCCTCCCATTAAAAAAGTAATTTTTCCTCTTATTTAAGAAAACAAATCCTTTATATACTTGATGATCATCCTCACAACTAGACTTTCCCTTTCAAAACTAAATTTTACTCAACTGACTTATAAAATTCTCTGAACATTTTCCTGCTTTTTCCTAGCAATAGAAATAGTTAACGTTTATTGAATACTTTATATGTGCTGGGGACTAGGCTGAGTATTTTAAATGTGTAATCCTGTTTAATCTTCAGTCATACTATGAGATAGGAAAGTATTTTTTTTCACCTTATGCCTATGGAAACTGAGGCTTAGGAAAGTAGCTTGAATGGTCATAGAGCTAATAAGTGGCAGAGCTGTGATTAGAATCCAGGGCCAGTTGGCTCCAAAGACAGAATCCTAATCATCAGGTTACACTAGCCCATCTTTTAAGATACCCACCTCCAAATCACATTTTTAAAAATGAGATGATTATAGCCTAGTTTTCTTTTTCTTTCTTTTTTTTTTTTTTTTTTTTTTTTTTTTTTTTTTTGACAGAGTGGACAGTGAGAGAGAGAGACAGAG